GGGGGGCGCCTCGCTGCGAGGGGTTGTGCGTGTTGAGGAGCCCATCTGATGTGACGACACTGTCAGTGTTCAGGTGCTGAAGCCCTTCCTTCCCAGCAGGCTCCTTGCATGGAGAGTTAATTGTCCCCCCAGCAGGCTCTGTGCCGGGGTTGCCATAGTTTAAGTCTGGTTCCTGGCTAGCTGCCTGGTGGAGCACATCAGTCGTCACCTTTGGAATGAGTCTGGCCCCCTTCCCGAGGGATCTGTGGCTTAGCTTGACCATGTCCTGTGCTGCCACCACCCTGTAGGTGACCTCGAGGGCCGGGCAGGACCCCGCGTACCAGCTTCCGGCTGCAGAGGGGATACCAAATGGTGAGATGGGGACCACCATGGATCTAGGGCAGCTACAGAAGGAAAAACAGGACTTGGAGCAGCAACTTCTAGAGAAAAATAAGGTGAGGACGCTCCCTCAGCTATTTATGTCCCTTTCCCTGTCCTTGTGCCTAAAACCATCCAGTCCGTTCTTCAAGAGTTGTGCTGATGCCCCTGGGCCCCTCTTGGGGGAGGTGTTACCTCTTCCATCACAAGGGCTTCTTCCTGGTTCTCTTCTGCTTACCTCCTGCACGGCCCTCTTCCTTTCACACTTGCGCAGTCTCCTCCCAGACCCCCCACCTGAGATGGTATCTGGAGTATTAGAGCTGGAACGGTGGCAGGTCTCAGTGTCCCCAGCCCCCTGTGCCATCGCCAGCTAGGTCCTATGACTAGTCACCTTACCTCTGCACTTTTTTCTACAGCTGTGAAATGATAGCGGTGATACCTGCCTTTCAGTGGTTTTGTGGTGGGGGGAGGTTGGGGGATGAAATGAAACTGTTTGTTAGCTTCTTGTAAATTTTCTGGTATTTGATAGAGGCTTAATAAATGTCATGATTCCACCCACCCTGCCTGGCCTCTGCACCTGTAAATGCAGGGTCTTGTTTGAGCCTTGTTTTTAAAATGTCCTGTGAAGTTAAATGTGCTGGCTAGTCAATGCTCTGGCCTGAAATTCCGCCCCCAAATTCTGTGATTACTCTTTAACAAAGGAGAAAGGTGGTCATTCTTTCTCTCCCCCCACCCCCGCCCATCTCCCCCTTTCACTCACTCACACACACACACACACACACACACACACACACACACACAGGCTCTTAATCTCTTATCATGAAATATAAAATATAGAAGAGTGCACACTGTGTTCCTGGGTCCAGCCCTCGGACAGCTTCTCCAAATCGCACTCACATCCTTGGCGATCTCCCCCATCCTGTGTGCTGCTGGCACCACATCCATACCTTGAATCCAGACGGCTCCTGTGAACTCTAGACTCCTGTATCTACCCTATTTCTCTATGTCAGTGTCTGAAAGGCCCCTGAAATTTAAAACATCCAGAACCAGACTTCAGACTGACCACGCTCTCTAGCATCTACTGCCATCTTTCCTATCTCAGTAAATGGCAAAAACCTTGAAGTCATCCTTGTTCCCTTTGTTTCTTTCACAACCAACATCCAAATCATTAAGGAATCCATTTGGCTCTCCCTTCAAACTGTACGCGCAATGAGCTGCTTCTCATCCCCACCACTGCTACCACCCGAGACCAGGTGACCATCCTATCTTCCCTAGAGGATGGTGTTGGGCTTCTAATTGGTTTCCCTGTCACTTGTCTGTTCCGGCCTTCTGATGACTCTCTGTCCCCATAAAAGCCAAAGTCCTTGCAGTGGCCCACAAAGCCTTTGTGGTCTGGCTCCTTACTGCCCCCTTCCCCATACCCTCTGCTCTCCCCCAGCATTCCCTCTCAGCCACAGTGGCCTTGCCTTTCTGTGAATATCAAGCACCCTCCCGCCTCAGGGCCTTTGCACTTGCTGAGCCTTCTGTCTGGAAGATCCTTCCTCCAATTACCCTCACTTCCTTTATGGTGTCATTTTGTCAGTGAGGCCATCCTGCTACCCTGCCAGCCCTCACCAACAGAACTCCCGGTCCCCTCACCTTGCTTTTTTTTCCTCCAGGCCTCTTAATACCTTCTGATACACTGTATATTTGCTTATTGACACTGTTCTCTCTTGAGGGCAGACATTTTTTCTTTTTTTTTTTTTCCTGCTTTTTCTGCAGCCTCTAGGCTGGTGTAGAGACTCGGTATTCATTGGATAAGTTAATGAATGAGTCAAAACCTAGAAAATCAAGTAACATAAACTAGCAAATGTACTTTTGGGGGAATGCCCAGCTTCACAGTCAAGCAGAGAATACAGATTGGAACGAAACATTACCATTTTGTCAGTGGGGTGTTGCAGGCAGTGTGGCAGGAGCTGGAGGTGCTTTCCCAGCCGTCTCATCCCCAGGGGACTGTGGCCATACTGCTCTTGAGACAATGAAGCTTATTACAGCTTTGTTTGAAAATGGAAGCTCAGGGAGTTCCCTGGCGGTCCAGTGGTTAGGACTTGGCGCTTGCTCTGCCATGGCCCCGGGTTCAATCCCCGGTCGGGGAACTCAGATCCCGCAAGCCATGCAACATGGCCAAAAACAAGGTAACTCAGCTACACAAGAAGACATGGGGCATCCCCTAGAGTTACTGTCACATTAAAAGTTATAATTAGCAAAACTATAAAGCTGTGGAAACTCTGATAAATGAAAACTACTATTCAAAATTCTAGCTACTCAGTGCAAGAATGGTGACGTGGACTAGAAGTCCACAGGAAAAACTCATTTTGATATAGTTGTGAGATTTTGGAGAAATTTTTATTTAAAATTTTTTCCCTGTAATGTCGATTACACATTAAATTTTTTCATTGGGAAAACAGAGTTCAGCCTTTCGGGTGGTTAATGGAATGTGTAATAAATTATATTTAAGGCCCGTAATACTAATAAGCTCACTAAAAATAAATAAGGAAAATAAAGACATAAAACCCATTGTTGTTGGGTTGTGCCGAAAAACCACGATCTTTAATACTGTTCAAAATAAGTGTTAAAAATTATTATGGTATTTCAGGAGATCAATGGTGATGATGAGAATCATAAATTTTGGCCCAGGTATCCTACTTGGGGATGATAGCACCTAAATATCATTCTGAAGGGCAGAATATACTGTGCAGAGGCATTTCTAGCTACGCTGCCTGTGGAGGCGAGCGCCAGAAGCAGTCCCAAGGCCCCAGGCCGGGAGGGGTGGGACAGCACTGTGGCAGCGGCGGTGCCAGGAGAGCAGGGCTGTGCACAGGCTCAGCACGTGGGGGAAGGAGGCCGAGGCAGCAGGTGTGGCAGCGCAAGCTCCTCAGGAGATGAAGCAGGGGCTTCTAACAGGTGTATGGGGACCCAAGGGGTTGTCTGTCTGCTCTGTGGTCCTTTGCACTTTAAAGATGGTGAAACGTGCATTTATTGAATGGCCTTTTGTGGGGGTGGGGCTTTGCTCAGACCATAAAGCAGATGCAGCAGAGGATGCTGGAACTCAAGAAGACTCTGCAGAAGGAGCTGGTGAGTGTCCCCCTTCTCCCCGCTGCCCGTGCCCTCCCGCCTCTGCTCCTCCTGCCTGATGACACTCCCCCCCAGGGGACTGCAAGAGGTCTCTGGGAAGTCAGGCTGGTGGGACAGTGGCCCTGCCACCTTGAACGTGCTCCTGGAAAGTGGCTCTGTGACCCCCGGCACGAACCCTCTTTCTCTGAGCCTGTGTGTTGTCTGAGAGGTCAGTGAGGTGACCTGTGGCCATGTGTGAATGGCAGAGGCCAGGCCCAGATGTGGGAGAGCGGCGCCTCTGCCCTGGCTGGGTGCTCACTGCTCCAGGAGACGAGTCCTGATGCGGGTAAAGGAAGTGGCTGAACTTGCCCACATTCCTCTCCCTCCTCTCAGCCAGCACCTGCCTTCTTCAGGTGCTGGTGCTTCCTTCGCAGGTGGGGCCCTTTTCGCCCTACTCTGTGCAGGGTGTGGCAGAGAACTGCAGGTGATCACAGCCAGGGCCAAGTGAATCTCCCCTGTGATTTTCGAACCTGTCTTGAAGGGTTCAATGTAGCGTCTTTCCGTTGGTTTTTCAGAAAATCAGACCCGATAACGAGCTTTTTGAAGTCCGGGAGAAGCCTGGGCCTGAAATGCCAAACGTGGCCCCTCCTGTCACGAATAATGCTGACCTGACTGATGCCCGCGAGATCAACTTTGAGTACCTCAAACATGTGGTTTTAAAATTCATGTCCTGTCGCGAATCTGAGGTAAAGGGCTTTTGAGTTGCCCTTTGGGTACTGAGTTCTACCCCAGGGCCTGGTTCATTTGTCCGCACCCTGCCTGGCTTCCCGCCAAATCCATTTCTTTCTTCCTGTCCCCCATTCTGCTTTGACCACCAACGTGAGCACTCAGTCATTTCTCCAGTGGGCGCTGACCTGCTGGTTGAGCAGCAAGCAGGGGGCGCCGAGTAGGGAACTGGCTCCTGGGAGGAGATGTGGGTCGGATGCTGAGGCCAGAGTCCAGGGAACTGAATCCACCCAGCAGTCCTGCCTCCTGCCGAAGAGCGGGTGGCTGCGGTGGTCGCTGGTGGTCTCACCAGTCTCCGAAGTAAAAGTTGGGGGAGTAAAAGAACCAGCAGACCTCAGAATGCCCACCTCCACCCTCTGCGTGGTCCTTGCTGACCAAGCCCGGAGCGCACAGGAGGAGCAGGACCAGGATATGCTGCCATGTAGCCCCCTGACCGCCTGCTAACTGACCAAGGCCCATGGCAGCAAGATATGCTTTGTTTCAGGCTTTTCATCTTATAAAAGCTGTGTCAGTGTTGCTGAACTTTTCACAAGAGGAGGAGAACATGCTCAGAGAAACCCTGGAGTATAAGGTAGGGTTTCCTGGTCTGCTGTCCGCCTTCCAGAAAATGTAGTCAGTCATCGCAGCCCTGGCGGGTGAGACCAGCCCACAGCTGCATCATTAGCTTGGAAGGTGCTTTTGGTTGATGAACTGGACTCGGGTAGTATTTACCGAGGACATGCTTTGTGCCCACAGGTCTCTGCTGTACTTGACTAACAGGGCCTTGTGTTCTTCTCCAGAGCACTTTCATTGGTATCACGTCATCAACAGCCCCAGGTCTGGCCAGCACCCAGACTTTTTTAAAAAATGAAAAATATTCAAAAAGTACCTGCGTAAATGCTATAATCGAAAACATTTTAAGGAAACATTACCTAAATTCACTCCCTTGTTCTTGTCACCTCAGGTTCTTCTCCTGTCTCCCTCCCATCTTTAGAATGGGCCTTGCAGCCCCACACACTGGTTACCAGAACCATCGTCTTCACTGCTCTGCTCACAGCCAGAGTCCGGGTGTGTGGAGGGCAGGGGCGGCGGCCCACGGCTGGGGAGGTGCTCTTTCAGCTGCTTTGTACCTAGTCCTGATTCTCATCTCAGGAGCGTTTTCTGTTTCAAACCCAGATGTCATGGTTTGGGTCCAAGCCAGCTCCCAAGGGCAGCATCCGGCCGTCCATCTCCAACCCTCGGATACCATGGTCCTAGGCGGCACCACCCAAGGATGAACCTCCAAGGGCTGACACTTTTTCTGTGAAAAGAACACTGACACACCAGTCTGGGTGGGTTTTTAATCACTGTAACTGCAGTATTTTGTACAAGCATCTGAACATTGTTTACAAGACTTAAGGCCCACTCCTGCAGACTGATAAGAACCTCAGGAGGTAGCTGATCCTGTTGTTCTGTTCACCAGAGGGTCCTGGCACTACCCACATTTCCACAGTGCTGCTAAAATCCCAGCTCTGGCCAGCACCCATCTGCCCCGTATCCTCTTTCAAGGTGAGCACTTAAAGCCGAAGCCCTCAGCATGTGTCAGAGAGGAGGCGGCTCATCTGTCGTGTGGTGACGACACTGGACATAGACAGCCCTTCAAAATGGTGCCCAGCAGCCCAGACCCACCTAGTTCTGCCACGAAGAGCCAACTCCGTGAGGCCGGCCTTTAAAAACTCCCTTTCCCTTTCAGTATGTTTGGGTTCAGATGAGTTAGAAGCAGCGTTTTAAACCCTTCCTCCCAAGGAAACATTATTTCACGTTGTTTCTCAGACCACCGAGAACTTTAGTTGTCTGTCTTTAAGGTACTCTGGGGCCAGTGTGGATTAATGAATATGCACCTTTCTGACAGTATCTCATTTTACTGAAGAAAACTAGCAAATGTATAAAAAGATCCTTAGTACCAAATACACTCAATTGCCTTTTTAATGAATGTACTTGTCTTGGATAGGTTGCTGGTAAACCATTTTAAACTATTTTTTATAGCTAAAGTTCCTTGCTATTATAAACATATCTTCTGTATTATAAAATCCATTTAACTGGTGTTCTTAAAGGAAAATCTGAGCATCAAGAGGAAATTATTTCTAAGATTGGGAGCCCTGTCCCTTTGTAATGTCACTAGCATTCTTTGGCATCTGCTTCCCTCTGAAGCAGTGGTGGTGTTTCATTTGTTTAGCTCTTAATTCTGTGTTGTAACACTGAGCAAATGCTAATCACATTTTCTACTGCTAAGGACAGTCTGCTGTATTCAAAGGAAGCAGCAGCTGTCCCTCTCCCCAGGCTTTGACCAAAACGTTGGAGGGTGGACTGCCTTGTAAGTGGAGCCACCGTCTCTCCCTGTCTGTCACCCTACCCCCAAATATTTAAGATGACACTACATTCATGTATGGCAACCAGGCAGCCCCTAGCTGGCTGCAGTACTTGATAGCATGCAAATGGCTCTGGAACTGACTGATAAAAAACTTGTATTAGTTATCATTATAAAGAAAAGGGAATGTGCTTGCCCTGGTTAAGGCACACTATCAAATCTAAAGGGAAACCATATATTGAGTTATAGTTTGATGAAAGTTTTTTTGGTTAAATAAACTGAATAACTGGAGCTCCTAAATTTATCATCAGTTATCCAATGATGTAAAGTTATGTTTCTCAACTATGTTTAGGGTTAAAATAAAGTATATCTCACAGGAAAACAAGGATTTGCAGTTAACATAAGACAGTTCCGTGGACCTAGAAGTACCAAACAAGGGCAGCATCACCCTCGTCCCCACTTGGGCTCTCTGCCATCCAAGTGACCCATTCTCCGGTTACCTGCCTGTTAACATAAGACAGTTCCGTGGACCTAGAAGTACCAAACAAGGGCAGCATCACCCTCGTCCCCACTTGGGCTCTCTGCCATCCAAGTGACCCATTCTCCGGTTACCTGCCTCCTCCTATGGCTACCCCTGCAGATGCCTCACCTGTGTTTAGAATGCTGTTTTCCATTTATCTGGTGGGGACACAAAACAGGAGTCCCTTCTGTTCCATAATTTTGATGAATAGGAGGTAGCTCTTCCAGAAAAGAATCCCTAAGATTGGGTAGTTCAGGGCTTGCTAGAGGCGACTACCACACAGCCATGGGAGCCCCGCCCGACTCCCCAGTGGCTTCTCCAGCCCTCGAGCTGGTCTCACCCACCACCCACGTCCGCCGGCCATTTTAGGCGTCGTTGGTTGTGGGGCCCCTCACTAAGTCTACTTGCACAGGGAGGATTCATTCTGATCAGGCTTTCCTCCTGCATGTTGAATTTCCTTCAGCTTTAAGAAGAGTGGAGTAAATGTTCTAAGTGATTTGATGCACTTTTACTTGTATAAAACGTTCTGTGATAGAGACAGTATATATAGTCCTTTATATGAGCATTGGATCTTGATCTCACCCTCCATGTTGTACACAGGGAGATTGTATTATCTAAACTGCTGTAGAAAATTCACTTGTGGTGCAATACACTTTTTGATTAAAGCTCTTCAATCCAGAGGCAGTGGATTTACTTGATATAGTTTGGTGTGTCAGTATTTCTTTAACTTGTTAAATTTAGTACATTGTGTCTCACATTTAAAACTCCAAGGCCAAGTTCAAGGCCTGTAGAACACTAGTCTTTCAGGAAGCACCTCCCCAGATTAGGTTTGGGTGAATAAACATTACATGTAATTTAATGAAGCCAGCAGCCCAGTCCTACCTCCCAGGAAGGGTAGGGTTCTGCAGAGGAGTTGGGAGGATTGTCACTTTGGTCAACCTCCATCTCCAAGGCCCACATGACTGGGAAGAGCTTCAGGGACATGAATGGGGTCCCTACCTTTAGCAAACTGCAGTTACATGTGCCAAAAAGGAAAGAAAAGCATCTCTGCTCTTCAGAGAGGCCCATTGTTAGTGGTTACAGGGAACAAAATGTTCCTTTTATATCTATAGGCTGATTGCTACCTGTTTCTGGCTCTTAACCCTTTAAAGAAAACAACATCACGGTGTTCCTGCTAAACAGCCGAACCCAGCGTCAGGAGGTGATGACTGGGCCCGTCTAAGCCCGCTCCCAAAAGACTCCAAGTGCAGTCACACAAACTGAAGACTTTTAAAGCTTAGGTCAATTATTGAATGTTTGGCACTTTATTAAATAAGCTCCAAAACTATACACAAATGAAAGGAGTAAAAACAATAAATAGTTATTCAGCAAAACATCTCTCTGTAGCAGCCAGCAGCACTGCAGCCCAGGCCTGATTTACTGCTCTGGCAGGAGGGCTGGAATGCCATGCTCGCTCCCATGGCTCGGCGGGGACACAAGTCTACCCCCTCCATGTCCAGTTTCCAGAACAGGCGACCTCTCATTCATTGCCATCCATTACCCATTTCTTTTATATACACGAAACACACTGCAGAGTATATACTAATAAGCCAAGAGCTTTATTGATGCAGCAGGCACTTTACAATGAACCCAAGAGAGCCCGCCTTCTTTGGGAGGTCGGGATGTCTGTACAAACCCTTGGGGGTTTTCCACTTCAACAAAAACCAAGTTCTCCCTTTTTTACCACACCCCTTGAATCTGCACCTGCCCAAGTCATCCTTCCCCACTTTTACACAGGCAGTGCACACAGGTACACCTGACCAATGCGGGCCAGCCACTCTGGTAGACAGTCACAATGTCAGTTCTGCATTACTTGTGGACAAAGGCATAGACTATCAGATCCTGCAAAGGATTTAGGAAACAGTAAGACGATTTCTCCCTCCACCTTGAAAATAAAATACGTTTTAGCGGATGCATGTCCTGAAATAGTTTACTTGGGAGTTCTGAGGAAGATGGTCCATTGTCAATCCCTTCTTCAACAGCCTGTGCATCCAAAATTCTTCTCAAGGTAACATGAGTCTTTTTTTTTTTAAACAGTCTTTCTTGCTGTAAGAACTCTTATAATGGAGCCTAGTCCTCCTACTGCTAATGCCTGTAGGGGCAGGAAAAGAAAAGGTGTCAGTTGAGACTTGGTTGGACAAGGGGAGCCTAGCTTGCCAGGGAAGATGGGACCATGCGCTCCTGACCATGTCACAGACCTTCTGAAAAGGGATTCCCACGAGAGCACAGTTAAGAGGTGCCAACAGGGTCCACATTCGAGGGATGGAGCCCTGTCCTGGAACAAAGGGTTCCCGAGAGCTGCTAGCTCTTGAGGCAGGAGAACTGGGCTTGAGAACATTGTTACCAAGCTCACACAGAGACCCCCAGTTTCCCTTTGACAAGCTCATCATGTCCCAGCCTACAGGCACAGCCGTAGGCACTTAAACACTAGCCCATTAGAGCTGAAACATCAACAGGGCTGAGCACCCAGTTGCCTTAAAGGGACCAGAGAGCCTGGCCTCCATACCACTCAGTTCCCCTGAGCCCCACGACCACCTCCGCCCACTAAGCCTAGGAGCTCACCTTCTGGCAGAGCACACCCGCCAGCAGGACCAAAGGCCACAGCCCAGCCCCAGGCTGCCCAAGTGACCTATCCCTCAGTAAGGGCCACTCCCTTAAAACTCAACAGAGCCTTTCAGGAAGGACACTGGCTTGATGAAAGGCCCTGCTCTTATACTGACCCAAGCAAAGGACAGGCTTTTCATGCTTCAGGTGGATGAAGGCCCTGTTAAAGACACTGCCAAGGTATCTGCCACTGCCCCCTCGGGCCTGGTGAGTCTGAGGCTGGAGCAGGAAGCCCTCAGAGCTAACGGGAGGGCTCAGCCTGAATCTAAGACCCAGAACCACCACCTCCACAAGCCCAAAGAAAGTATTACAAAGTCCCAGCCACCAGCAAGCCTGCCTCTGCCTTACCACGCCAAGTCACCTGCCCCCATGCCTCCCCGGCACAAACCAGCAGCTAAAGCAATGGCAATTACCAGAGACGGCAGATCCCTACCAGGTGCTTCCTTGGGAGAGGTTAAGTGCTCAGATGTCCCAGGTTGCTTGAGGCGTGGCCCCTTATTCTCACATGCCTATCAGACTGTCCTTTGTTTGTTTGGGGTAGCCTGGCCTGCTGATTTGAACCCTGGGGTTGGGGTGACTCAGTGGGCTGCCTGATGTTCACGTACCTTTTCGTGCCACTGGAGTAACACTGCACTGCTATTTTCTGTGGGCTTCTCAAACCCTTTATAAATGTACTTCATTAGCAAGTCAATGCCATTTCTGTCCAGTGACTGCACAGCCTGCTCAATTTCGCTGCTCTTAAAATTTGTAAGCACTTTCAGCACCACGCCCTGGGCCCGTTCCTACAGAGGAAAGAGGAAAGGGAGTGAGGCCTAGAGCCATGGCCCAGGCATATCCACATCCTGCACTGCAGGCTCAGAAACACCAAACCAAGTAGTCAGAACTCATTAGAAACACTGCCCAATTGCTAATTCATTTGAAATGCTTAAGTGAAATTCTTTTATTGATTTAAGTTTCAAAGTATCCCAAAGTATTCAAAGCCAGTAATTTATTCCACTTATTTTGGGGGAAATAAGCAGTTTCCTGGGGAGAAGCATCCCTATTTCTGATAACACCAGCAAGGCCTTAAAACTCTACAGGATCATGGGCTTCCCTGGTGGCGCAGTGGTTGGGAGTCCGCCTGCCGACGCAGGGGACACGGGTTCGTGCCCCAGTCCGGGGAGATCCCACATGCCGTGGAGCGGCTGGGCCTGTGAGCCATGGCCGCTGAGCCTGCGCGTCCGGAGCCTGTGCTCCACAACAGGAGAGGCCACAGCAGTGAGAGGCCCACGTACCGCAAAAAAAACAAAACAAAACAAAACAAAAAACTCTACAGGATCATAACTGTGGAGATTAAAAAAAAACAGGTCCACTTGGCTGCACCTTCTGTCTGCCTTCACCCCCAATGGAACAAAGGGGCCATTTTCCTCCATGTTTGACAGGTGCAGCCATTTATATCAAGATGCCATCAAAAAAAAAAAAAGTGCCATCACAAGATGGCAAAACCCCAGCTCCAAAGAGACCCCTTTCCCTGGACCAAATTTTAGACAGTCTCAGCGATGAGCTTTTAGACAACATAACCGATACAGTCTGCACAACCGTATGGTCTCACCTAGTTTTTAGGAGGCAGGAAATCATAAAAGCACTGAAAATCCTTATGCAAATAAAGCTTATTCAATAGCTTATAAAAGCATAACCACTGCTAAGTCCCACATGGCAAGCTAATTTATAACTTTGCTCATCAGGAAGGGCTGGGCTGACTTCTCACCCCATGAGGCCTCGGGGAGGAGTGAACGGGGAGGAGTGAACGTTTCTTTGGGGAGCGTTTACTATGAACACTGATAGCTGGGTGTTAGGAGCGCCAGAAGGCTTCCGTGGAAACACTGCCCGGTGCCAACTCACTTCCTTGGTAGATACTCACCAATGCAGAGATGAAACAGATGCTGTCCAGAGTCCCAGGGAGCTCACACTGGACAATCACAGCCCTGGTCCCAACCACCCACACAGCAGAGCTGCAGTTCAACCCCCTTTACCTTCACAGCTTGATTCTTCGTGTTGACGGGAGAGTTCCGCAAGGCTGCATGAAATGCCCGAAGCATGTCCCCTGTGCATCAGCACCAGTTAAGGATGGCTGGGCTCTAGCATGTTCATGCTTTTATTAACGAACTCATTTCAAAAAGAGCTCAAGAGAGTGGAATTAAATGGCGTCTATCCACATCCACCCGCCTCCCACTGTGGCCTCCCGGTGGGCACAGCCAGTTCAGAGGGTAGCCTACAGGCTCTCCTGAGCCACATGGAGGGTGGGTGGGGCATCTCTGCCAAACCTGCAAACCCCTCCTCTGCCGGCCCTGAAACCTTCCCCTTCAAAGCAAGTTTGGACACGGACTCACTCCCTTCCGGGAAGGGAGTAGCAAAGCAACCGCCCCCGCAGGGTAACTTGCAGCAAAATCTGACTGAGCTGATTTGCACTTACTTGGCACCGTATCTGCCCTACTGGACCCTCACGACCACCGAGTAAGGTTATCATTTTCATCTTCTCACTCTCAAAAGGGAAGAACAAAGGCACAAATGGAGGTCTCCTAACTCTTAATCCAGTGTTTTCTATCAGTTAAACTATTAAAGGAATTAAGATGTGCTAAAACTTTTATCCTCCAAGACCTACCCAAGTCAGTGAGGTCCCAACTAGGGGAAATTTAACAATCTAAAAGAACCTTTTGCCAACAAAATGAATCAATCCTCTCCTCCTTGCTCCCCAAACCTTAGCTGGAGTCCTGACATAATCTTTGCTGAGCTCTGAATAGCCAGTGCTCAAAAGAAAATTACAATCTGGGTTAGGTCCCCAAAGGTGACACCTATTTTAAACTGAATTACATCAGTTGACTTTCATTTCCTCATCTGAAACACTGGCTTCAGCCAAAAAGCTTCAAAAATAGAACAAGAAATGGCTTCCGCCCAATCAGGTCTCTACTCCTATTCATGCAGCAATACCCACATGTGAACAGCCAGAACCTCCCAAGCAAAGCCGAGTCCCCGGTCTTCCCTAGTGTGGCCTCCATCTTGACTGAGCTGGGCCCACACACCCAGGGAGCCACCCCTGTGGAGCTCCCTAGCACCCTGCTGGGCTCTGATCCACCTTCCAATTTGAGAGGCAGCCCACTCTCCCACACCCCTGTATCTGTCAGCTTTGGAATTCCTTTTTCCCAGTCTGGTTAGAGCCAGTGTGATATCAGCCACTGATAATTTCTACCTCAGAACTCTTTTCGAATTTGACATCCCAGAGCAATAGGCAGAGTCCCAGAGGCTTCAGAGGAAACGAAGGCTGGCGCTCGCTCTTCACTAACCAGCACGGTTGGGAAACAAAATATTCCAGAAGATGAATGGGTAAGGGTAGGATAACTAGTCCACAGGGGCAAAAAGAGTCACTGCTTTAGAGTTAATCTCTCTGAAGCACCCCTCTACCAAACATTCACTACAGGTGTTGATAGGTAGGGGGCCTTCAGCAGCTGGGGAGAACTGGGGAGTAGGGAGGGGCATACCATTTATCAAGCTGGCCTCTGTCTCAGCTGGTTTTAGGCCCTTCTGGAGAACAGGCTGTGGAGGCCAAGGAACTGTGCCCAGCCCCTGGTCTCCTCTAGATCAGGGTTTCTCAACCACAGCACTACTACTGACATTTTAGACCAGATGACTGATGTGGGGTCTGTCCTGTGCATGCATGGTACAATATTTAGCAGCATCTCTGGCCTCTATGCACTATATTCCAGTAGCACTCCCTCCCACCCCCGAAGTTGTGACAAACAAAGTATCTCCAAACATCAACAAATTTCCTCAGGGGGAGGAGACTGCAAAATCATTCAAAACTACTGCTCTGGACAGATCCCCCTCCAGAGGACCAGAAGGTGCCTCAGCAAGGAAGAAAAGGAGCCAATTCTTTAAAATCCCTACAAGGTCTCAGATCCTGTCCCCAGGTGTTTTCACATGTCATCTCATCACTGCTAACAGTTCTTTGTGACAAGAATCATTATTCTGATTTTAAAGGCAATGAATCTGAGGCTCAGAGAAGGAAAATGATGTCTTCAAGGTCACAAAGCTAAGCTGTCCAGCTGGCCTTCAAACCCAAGGATGCCTGATTCCAAAGCCAAGCTCTTTCTACAATCCCCTGCTGCCACTCCACCCACAGGCCCAAGGTGCATGTCCAGGACACTTACTGTGTGTCCAGCACTGTGCTAAAGCCTTCTGGGATGTTGTCCAGTGATGGTCCCATGGAACCTATAAGCCCAGCTTGGTTCTCCTCCTTTTACAACAGGAGGATACTGAGGCTCAGAGAGTGTGAGTGACCTATTCAAAGTCACACAGCTACAGAAGACTGAGTTGGGTCTGTGTGGATGCACAGCCCACGCTCTATTTCATGTGTGTGATCTCCCACCATGACTCGCTTCCCTATACAGTACGAGGACAGGCTCACTCCCTACATCCACTCACTCCAATCAACCAACCCCTATCCCTACTCCCCTCGCCTCTGTTCTAAGACTCCTAGAAGCCCTTTCTATAGTTTAATAATCTAACATAAATCCAAGACCTGGCACATGGTAGGGACTCAGCAAATATTAGCTCCTTCCTCCTTCCTTCCTGGGCCCCACATCTGCCAGGATTTCAGTTCTCATTTGCTAACCTCCCTTTCCCCAATCCCAAGAGGTACACACTCCATGGTAACAAGGTTTCTGACACTGCCATTAGTGGAGAAACTACCATCCCCTGATGTGCTAAGCCTAGGTCTCCAAGCAGCCTCAAGGAACCTATCATGTAAGAGATGACCTTCAACATGTCTCTGCAGCACCAAGACAGCAGATAACCGGACCTTGCCCTCCCCTTTTGTGGATGGTCTGGGCCACAGGCCTGACGCTGGAGTCCTTTTAGCAATGCCTGCCCATGAGCCACCAAGACTGCAGAATCAACCTTCCCTCATGGGGGCCCTTCTCATGGCCCCATTTCACCAATGGGGTAAATAGGGTGATCCTGATGGGGCAGGAAATAAAAGTTTGAATCACCACCTTTGAAAACACATTTCTGTTCAAACAAAGAAAGTCTGGAGGTTTTTGTTTCAAAGGCACATTGGAGGAACACTGTAGGACTCCTCCCAAAGGCAGTCTATGGGCTCGACTTCCCAAGCTGAGTCAACTGATTAAACACCCAAAACCTGATTTATATACAGTACAGCATAAGCCTCCAACACTGCCCTGGCCAGAGCGGGGGAGGGGTAGGCACTTCCTGTAACACCATTTGAATAAAGAAAAATCCTTCCTGTGAGAATAAGTCAGTTTCCTGTGCTCAAACTGCTAAGGGACCAAGTAGGCTGTGACAGCCAACTCTATTTTTAATCTTGTTTTCTAAATGCTTGTTTTCTGTGACCACAGAACAGTCATTTCCAGTCGTGGGGCTCTACTTTTACATCTCACTTTATGCTGCCTGTTTTTTCTTAGCTCTAAACGACTAGTTTTTTCCACTGCTTCCTGCACAAGAAGCCTATGCAGGGGGGAGCCAAAACTCACTTGTTGAACGTGGCTGAGACCATCGAGGTCCAAAGCCCAATGAATGGTCATAAGAAACTAAGAATAGGTGAGGAAGAGTGGCATTAAGCCGCAGGGTCAGAATGATTCTGGGGTGGGAGGTGCGATCTGAAACCTCAGGGCTGGACTAAGGCTGCAGCCTTGGCTCCCCCCGTGGGGCCTTTCTTCCCCGCAGCCATCCACCCACCTACTTTCAGGTGGTGCTGCAATCCGGCCCGAGAGGACCGTGCCCGGGAGCCGCCCTGGCCGCTCAATTACTCAGCGGTTGCTCACCTCGGCGCCTCCCGCCGATCATACCCGAGTATGGCCCCGTTTCCCGCATGGGAGGGATGGAGTGATCGGGCGCCCAAGGAAGGGCCAGCCTGAGGGGGTGGGGAGGCAAGGGGGAAGAAAGGGGAGAGGTCTCGTGCAAGAGTGAGGGGCCTACGAGCCGGAGGCCCCTCCGGCACGCTTTTGGGGCCGCCGAGCAGGCCGGCCCACCAGGATCCGGGGGCCGCGTGGGGCCGCGCTTTTGAGGGAGGCTTCGAGGGCTCGGGCCGGGGACAAGGAGAGTGGGGAGGCCGGGTCAGAGGGAAGTGGGGATGCGTGGCCCGAGGAGGGCCAGGTCGGAAGGGAGTCGGGAGACTGACCTGAGGGGTCCGGGGCTGAGAGGAGTGGGGAGGTCGGCCTGAACGGCCGGAGCCGGGGATGAGGGAAGTGGGAAGGCCGGGCCAAAGGGGAGTCCGGGCCGCCGCGCGGGAGAAGGATATTGCCGCAGGAGCCCGTCCACCTCGCTAGGATCCGGGCCTGGCTCGGCCGCCGCCGCCGCCGCCTCCTCCTGTTCGTCCACGAATTTGTTCTCGTCAAATTCGTCGATGTCCACCCGACGGAAGCGCGAGGACAGCGTGTTCCGGGCCATGGCGGGGGCTCGGCGCCCGCTCAGGCAGCTACGCTTCGGGGAAGACCTCCACTCCACTCCGCTCGGAACCGGCTCCGGCTCGGGGGCGGGAAGCTGCCACCCGGCACCTCCTCCACCTCCTCCTCGCGCAGCCGCCGCCGCCCGCCCACTTCCGGGCCACGCAGGAACCGGAAGTGCAGGTGGAGGGAGGGGTGGGGCGTGTCGGGAAGCGCCGGGAAAGAGGCCTGTGGAACTCCGGGGGACCCCTGGCTTCATGGAGGTAAAGTCTTCCCGTCTGAGGAGCAGGCGCCCAATCGCGCGCAGGCCCAGCACGTGGACGCCATAACTGCGCACTTCGGCTTCGCTCCTGCACCCGAGGAGCCCCTGGCCCTGGAGGGGACCGGGGCGGGCACACTCGCCGACTCCGGGTGTCATCTCTGCCCAGACTGAGGGGGCACGGGCCCCACAGGATAAGGCGCCCGGCTCGGCCTGTCGAGTGCCGGGCAGGCTTCTTAGAGAAGAAACCTTCGAGCTGAGGCCTGAGGGATGAGTAGTAGTTCTTATGCCCCGGGGAGTCACCTGGGGTGGGAGAACCTAAGTCTCGGATTTTAGGATCTTTGGACGCCACCACACTGAGCTCAGTGGATGTTGCGTCTACCTTATTGTTGTAGTGACCGTATTGTTAATGGGCTGGGAGACTTTAAAGACGTTTAAAGTGTATCCAGGGTGCTGACAAGACAATGAAGACATTTGGGTTTGAGAGGGCGGCGGCCCCGCGTCTGTAGCAGTCACCTTGACCGGGTGTGTAGGGGGCGGGGATAGGGGGATGACCCTGTGGCCAGCATCCTGGCAGGAAGGGCGAGGTCCTCGGGGGCTGAGATATCTTGCCTGGCTGGAGAGGAATATCCTGGTAGGAAGCGAACCCCCAGAGTCTGAGATGGGGAGAGATAGGGCAGAGTCAAGGACAACATTGTAGTGCCAAGATTAGGTGCCTGGGCTGTTGCTTGAGGGGTTCTATCAATGAGACTTAGCCTTAGACTACATTGGGTCTTTGTTTTCATACAATAGTTTTCCTTTTAATAAAGACCAGTAGAAGTTAATGAGATGTGACTCGTTTTCATTGCTTCGAATACTTCCCATTGAACTGTGTCTACAGATCAAAAAAATATTGTCAGACTAGGATGCTACCTAATCTTGGGTGCTAAAGATAGACTCCTACAGTGGGAAACAGGTGCTAAATAAAAGTATCAGGGGGCTTACCTGGTGGCGCAGTGGTTGAGAGTCCGCCTGCTGATGCAGGGGACACGGGTTCGTGCCCTGGTCCGGGAAGATCCCACATGCCGCGGAGCGGCTGGACCCGTGAGCCATGGCCGCTGAGCCTGCGCGTCCGGAGCCTGTGCTCCGCGACGGGAGAGGCCACAACGGTGAGAGGCCC